AGGGCGGAGAGGATCACTGCTGACCCCTCACACCCTGGACACAATCTGTTTGAACTCCTCCCCTCTGGACGGCGTTACAGGTCACTGTGCACCAAGACAACCAGGCACAGAGACAGTTTCTCCCCCCAGGCTGTCACTCTGATGGACACTTAGCCCACGACAGTATGACTGGACAATAACCCTCAGTGCAACACCTGTAAATATACTTTTTTTTATATATCTGTCTGAAAACTACATCTAGACTGTGTGCTTTTATATTTCTATATTTTTATTTTCCTAATGCACATTGTTTTTCTTGTTTATCAGTCTTATCTTGTTCACTGCTTTACGGAAGAACGTTGTACATGCACAGTGAGAGCCACTGTACCAGAGTCTGTCCAACACACCAGGCCCATAAAGATGATCCTGACATACAAAGAAAATGAAAATAAAAAAAGCAGCATGAAAAAAAGAGTAAAGGGAAAATAAAAGAGACAGATGATATGAAAAAGCAAGAGCGTACCCACAAACTATTAAGTTAAAAGTTAGTTAAAAATATAAAATGTGCTGACATTTAAGTTGCTCATATGTGAATACAGCCATTACACTGTGATGGAAACAGATGTCCTCTATGTCCAGTTACCTGGTAGATTCCATGGAGCGTGCCCACCAGCAGTGACACCTCCTCCACCACAGCCAGGTCGTGTTCCAGCTCCTCCAGCTCCTGGTGCAGTCTGGGGGGGCCCAGGAACATTTTACCTGGAGCACAGGAACTTGCATTCAGCTTCACACCACAGCATCAGGCGTTCCAGCGCCTGCTCCCCCTGCATCTTGCTTCAGCCCTTTTCAACTCTTTTCTGCTTATGGGGTCAGATTTTCCATCTAATGTACGTTTGTTCATGTTCACCCCGTCAGGTTTCTGTTAGAGCTGTGAGCTGGACAATCACAGGCACACACGTAGACTCATACTGCAGGTGACCTGTTGTCCGGGAGCTTGTGTGGAGTCAATTATCGCTACACTCACAGCTTAGAATGACTGTTAGCCTGCGTGTATTATTTGCCTAAGCTCAGTGAGTCATGTCAGCGTGTGGTGGTGTTAGAAGGCCAGATGCTGAGCTGCGGACATACAGGAACCACTGGTGCTGGACACAGAGCTGTGGCGTCTGGCTGTGCTGACACGCGCCGTGTTCTGCATGCTGTCCTGTCCCACCTCAACCACCTGGGTCTGCAGCAGAGGGGCGCACCACTTCACCGTGTACTTAGGCCCAACAGGAACCAGGCTGTTGATGTCAGGGGGTCCTCTGGTGGACAAACATAATGAGTGTTTACTACATGGCAGTCACTCTGTGCAGGGCCACCTGACCACCGCTGCCCAAACATCACATGGGTGTTGTTCAGCGTGAAACCTGCCAACTCCAATGGAACAGGACTTACTGCACCTTCAGGCTGTCATACAAGAACCAATTCTAATTCTTGGGCCTGAAGATTCACTCCTGACCATAGGAACACACAAATAGCCTGACTTTGGAGTCCAACAAAGTCCTCCAGTCCTTGCGCTCTGCCTGGCTAACTGTGTTTGACCTACAGTCTGAGATGAGACACACCGATGCTCCATTCAGTGACATCTACCACATACGATCCAGAGTGGTACTTACTTCAGGTTGACATTGGCACAGATCAGGGTGTTGCTGAGGAGAAAGACCTTTCGCTCCTTCGACTTGACAACTTGACCTTTATCACCATAAACTACTTCCATCAGCAGTTCACACTGAATCAGCTGCCTCTGCTCCGAGCTCAGCAGCTGGAAACACAAAGCAGCTCACTGATTACAGTAGATCTGTTCCTACGCTCTCAGTGAAAGTATTCAAATCAGTCAATGAGCTTCTACAGAGCCTGTGTGGAGCCATTTGTAGCTAATAATCTACTGATAAAATAACATGTTGAGTCTACAGGCCAGCTAGCATGAGCCTCAGCTTTAAGCTTGGACCGCCCTGTGTTTTCATGGCCTTTGCTCCATCATAAGGAGCATCAGTGACTACTGGCCAGACTGATATGAAAGTCATGGTCCCAGGAGGCTGATTCCTGAGGACCTTGGTGGCCCTCCACCATCTATCTTATGGCAACATCCTCAATCTAAAAGAGTTCAAATGAGCACAACACATATGTAAATTTAATAGACAAATTGTCATGAAATTTACTGAACAGATTCATGACACACACTCAGATAGGAAAAGGGACATAGTAAGAGTAGCCTTGTAACTTATCAATCAAAATACTACCACGCTACATCCTGTGTCACCTTGTTGAAGCTGCGGTCCCCGATGCTGTGGCACAGCTGCTGGATCTCAGCCTCCTGGTCAGCCAGACGCTTCTGCTCATTCAGTTTTTCAGCCAAGGTCTCGAGCTCAGTGAGAGCCAGCTGCAGGGGCAGTCGGTCAGCATGGGACCTCGGAGTGTTCTTCAGCATGTCCTGATACAGCACAAGACAACTAAGTGCCAGAGCACATAAGAACATACGCAGAATGCAAGAAAAAGTGGAAACAGTGGCCATAAATAAGGAACAAGTAATTCAAGCATCATCTTCAGTAAAACCAATCTTTTTTGAACCATCAGTGTGTGAAACAGTTGAAAGTCCTGCAGTTTTGTATCAACTAAGAGTAACCGTATTTTTATGCAGCATACAACGAAAGCAGAAAGAGGCTCAGACACCACCCTGATGGGGAAACTGGAGAAGGGCTGTTGTCCATTTTGCACTTCCATTAAGGCTCAGTTTGAAACAGTCATCCAGTGCTGTCAGTCTGACTGCTTGTTGGAGAAAAGTTTTCTTCCTGCTGTTTATCAGCAGAGCTCTGACAAACCTCAGCCTTTTTTATCCTGAGCTGCGTCCCATTTCATCCCCTCTGTCACTTCTGGATCATAGGATGAGAATGAATCTTGCATAGTGATGCCTGCTCCTCTTTGTTGTGTAACAGTAGGTGCTCAGGATCCACAATGCACTGCAGCTGAGACAGGAATGACTGCCTTTCACTTCCTCTTGTCAGAAACTCCAGCATCAAGTTTCAGAGTAACAGTTCAAGGCTTCAAATGAAACAAATATTCCAGCGAAGGCACAGAGTTTCAGTGTCACTATGCTTGACCACACACTGCATCCTGCCCCCGTCTTTACACTTCCTGTCTGAAACCACCGACAAGTTCCATCAAAGGGGATTCAAATAGTGTTTGTATGTCATTTACAGTATACATGAAAGAATGCGGATGCCGGGTGTGCGGGTGTCCAGGTGCATCGTACCACTGGGTTATATCTAACAGAAACAAATGGGTGTCATGTTTTGGTTCTAAAACAAGTGCAGGTCATGATTACATGCATTCAAAAGACAGACAGACAGACAGACATGCTGACGTGTGACCAGAGCGAAGGGTGTCCGTCACTCACCTGCAGCAGCAGAATGAACTGGGGAAAGCGCTGGATAGGTTTGACCATGAGGCCGTACAGAGTGATTCTGTCTGGACTGGACGCCTGCTTCTTCTGAAAGTCATAAGGAAAGTAGATGTGATCAGTGTTGCTCTTCTTACTCCATTTATGGTTTTATATTCTTTCTTAAACTCTTTCTAACTTTGCTTATAAATAACTTAGTCTTTTATTAATAATTGTATCTTAATCCTGTATAACTTGTTTTGTTTCTGTAAATTAGTTCTGCAACTTCACTTCGCTGCAGGGATTAAAAAGTTCCCTGTTTGTATCTAAGGTGTGTTCAGCAGCTGAATGTCTGGCCTTCACCATGGTTCCAAGTGTTTACAAAACAAAGTGAGCACCTTCAGAAAGTCCAGGAAAGCAGGTTTGGACATGCAGGCCTTCTTGATCAGCGCCATCGCACTGGTGAAGTTGTTGATGTAGTCACTGTAGACATTCAGCACCATGGACTTGGAGAACTGCGGAGGAACAAGTATGACGTCAGGGGTCTGTGGTTCACGTGCGCTGATTTAACAGGGAAACTCACTGATGTCACTTAACGGCACAAAGAAGCTGTTTTAACCCTTTCAACCCCACTGATCCATTGTGCTGTTTTATCCTTGGATCCTATTTATTTTATTTTAGTTATTTATTGTGATTTTATTCTGCCCATGTAAATACTTTGGTCAACTGGATGCTGTTTTTAAAGTGCTATATAAATCCATTTGATTTTATTTAAAATATTAATTGTGGGTGTGTGGATCTGCACCCTAGACTGAAGTCCAACTGGTCTCCTTACTGGTTTTACATACCAGCATGTTGAATGTGTTGTTTTAATCCCTACAGAGTCAGATCAGAGCTTGGCTAAGCCAAACAGCCCACGTCAGTCTGCTCATTAGTGACAATGAGTCTCATTCACAAACATTTTTCTTATAAAAATAAAAGGAAGTTAACATGAAGCCAACACGACTTGTACTGTGATACATCGAGTAGACGGTACTTAGTAGTAATTTTACTCTAAATATCACTCTTGACAATAGATTAAATCATTTGTCACAAAATTAAATGCCTCCATCTGGTGTTAAAAAACACTTCCCCAGCTTCTGTTTTGAAAGTCCACCAGGCGACACTGCTCTGCACTCAGAGGGGTGGAAAGTCAGAAGGACAGAAGGAAAAGTCTGTGACTGACCGAGGCTACGAACAAGTCTCCGATCTTCTCGCTGTGATCCCACTCGGCCACGCGAGACGCCAGGGCAATCTGGAACATTGAGTGGCACTGATGGATCTCCTGTGCACGGTAAAAGATCTGGTGCACCTTCTTGGGGCTAAGGATGCAGTTCTGTGGTTCCAGCAAAGGCTTCTGGTACTCCTGACAGACAAAGACAGGTTAGCTTGGCCTGTGTTCATTCCAACAGGCCTCACACAGCTTTTTCTTTCACATCCTGCTATTTTCACCAGGGTGGTGCTGTCACCTACATGTTCCACAGCAAACTGAACCCTTTGACCTTAAGTAGCTTCTTAACCTCTTAACAGCAAAATAACAAGTTTAACTGACACCTGTCAGGACCTTTAGGTAAAAGACTATTATCCCCATAAACCACGTGCTCCATTCCTACTCTCTCCCACACTGACACTGTCAGCCCCGTTACCTGAGGAGCCACGCGACTCACCTGGAGGATTCTCCTGAGAGAGCTCAGGTAGCTGCTCTCACTCTTCATAATGGAGCTGAGGATGAGGCGTCTGATGACCTGAGGTGGCAGTGACAGACTCGCATTCACATCCATCGAGAACAAACACACCTGCTCTGACCATTAAAAGACCACTGCATTCTGGGAAATCTCAAATAAAAGCTGGCCAGTGCACCAACTGGAGTGTGCACATCCATACACATCCATACACACACCTGTTGACTGCTGAGCCCATCTGGCATGGGGCAGAGCTGTGGTGGAGGGTGCTTTAGCTCGCACACAGATACGTTCATGTAACCTGCATCATCTTCATCTGTAAAATCAAACACAGCTACTTTACTCACACAGACAGAAACAAGGGAAGTGGCTCTGCTTTGGTAAAGATTCTAGATTCTTCACCTCCAACTCCTTTTGTGCCTCTAATATTAACTGTGGCTTCTTTCACAAATGAAGGAAAACCATCTAACTTCAGAGAATCAAGTTCTTCTCAGCCTTTACCAAAAATTACACGATGTCTTCAATAACACTTCCATGTTCTTAGAATGCGAATAGAAACCGTTTCAGTGTTTTGTGCCTGTAAATCTTTTAATCCATAGTCACAGCATCTAAAAGCTTGTGCTGTTTGTAGCGTATGCACAAGAAGAAAGTGTTAATTCTGCATCCTCTGTGCTAAAGTCGACCACACGTCTGACTGACAAACTGAACATATGAGGTGAATTTGCTGCACCCGTGGAATCTTTCTTCTGCAGGAACGACACCTTGCGCAGCATGGCTAACTTGGTCTTTTCTAAACCGTCCTTGGTGCCATTCCTCGCTGCCTTCATCAACTGCTGCACCTGGAAAACACAACAGGAGGGTAACAAATCCAAACTGCTGCAAATAAAATCATTTTATTTACACAACAAAAATCAGCCCTCATTTGTATCATGTTTGTCTGCTGGTTGATGTCAGGTTCTGACTGAGGTGAAGAGCCAGCAGAACAACCCCCCCTCCCACAGAGACTGAGCTGTATATATAAAAAATAGAAGAGGATGGGAGAGAGAGAGACCTAGAGAGGTAAATCTACCTTGGCGTCACAACTCTGTCTGATGTGAGCAACATGAGGTGTGCTGAGACGCACCGCCAGCTCCTTCAGCCTCCGGACATCTGCAGGCAGCTGGCAGAAAAACAGTGTTCAGCATTAACACACTGGCAACAGCTCATTCCAAGGAGAACAACGAACACACTGTCATACGCTGATCCAGGAGTCCAGTCAGACTCCATGATGTTTGCTGCGCAGGTCCACAATGAAACCATCGATTCTAAACTGTCACGGCACTGAAGAGTTGAAGATACAAAAGAAATGTCTGATGTCTAATAGCAGGAGGAGAAGTTTACAGTAGACAGCAGCAGTAAATAGGGGCCACTGACTAGTCTGATGAGGATGACCATGATGAGAACCAGACGCTGTGGCCTTTAGAGTCCCCAGGGCTCAGCCCAGTTGAACAGCTATGGGAGATGTTGGAGCCTCATGTTAGACAGCGTCTCCACCACCGTCATCAAACGGTGCTCATCCCTCCAGGAGGGTTCAGAGACCTGGAGAGTCAAGGTGGAGCTGTTCTGGTGGCACGTGGTGGCCCAGCACCTCACTGGGACTCTGTGTTGGGTCGTCCTTTAGTTTGGCACCTGCTGTTTGCACATTCACCCCAACGACAGTAATGTGTGTTGCTGCCTTCTCCTGTCTTACACTTCAGCACACAGAACATGTCAAACCTCAGTAATCAAAAGGGATACGCCGCCAATTTTACACATGAAGACGGGTTAAGTGACAAGAGGGGGTTTCTGTGGCTGTGACCATCAAGTCACCTGGCACTGAAAGCCAGTCAGACTATGTTGACCAGCAGTGAACTCCTTTCAGTTCTGACATCACCTTATGATATAAACTACAAACATGTGCAGTCTCTGCAGCCAGCGAGCCCTTCACTAATCATACTATCAAGCCTTGCTAAAATAAATGTGCTCATTCTATTTAGTAAGCAAGAAACACCACAGGTCCAAAATGAATTCAAAGTGAGTTCTGAGCTCTACCACCAACTGAGCCTCAATAAAATGCATTAAAATTCTTCCAATCTGTAAAAAACAGGCAAATCTACTGAAGTGTAAGAACTGATGTAACAGCACTCATAAAGCAGCAGCTGCCCTGAGCTCTGACCTCAGCCGTGAGCGCGCCTAAAAAACGGTGTTCGGACACCACAGGCTTGTGGACAGACTTCTGTAAATGCAATGACTGTAGGTTCAGTGCAGCCTTAGGAATTCACAGCCACTCGTGAACTTTACATGTGTAGCATTTGATATGAAGTCATGTCAAATGAAACATCAACGAGATAGAGAAGCTCAGTGTCAGAACGGGAACACTCGACCCTACCTGGTGTATCAGGTGACCAACTTCTCCTCCAAACCCTCATACAAGCATCCAGCTCATCGTAGACATCGAGAGACATCCTAACCAGCTGATTAACTCCTTTTATTAACTTTGCACCATCTCCACACCGAAGGCTTAAGCTAAAGTTCCACTGTTGATTTCAAAACAGATGAGCTGAGCGGGGAAAGTCCGACAGCAGAGTAACGCTAGCGACAGGAGCAGGAGACAGAAGTGCTGACAGTAAAATAAGTCACTTCCTCTTTTCAGCAAACCAGGTTTCATTCACACTCTATTTTCACTACTGTATAAACGAGCCTTGGTTTTTTCCCCATCAGGGTGATTTCTGGGTTGAAACAACGTGGGCTCACACTTAGTAGCTGTTTCTGTCACAGCATTCAGTGCCTTTAAACTCAGCCTCCACTGGTCACATCACCTGACCTTAACGCTGCACCAATCCACTGCTAAAATAACACTGTACACAAACAAATTTACAATCTAAATCTATTTATCTGACTTCTGTTGACTGACAGATGTGTTTAAATGTAAGAGAGCTGTTTATACATTATATTTACACCAGTCAAAAGCTTTAGAACACCCCATTTTTTCCAGCAGCTCCAGTCCAGTGGATAACCTTAAATCCCTACAGGTGTCCCACCTTTTGTTGATGACTCACAACAGCAGATTCTCTCTGCAAAGAGGCAGAGTTGGAAAAGATCATCTGGGAAAAGGCCATCAACAAAGGAAGTCAGAGCTTCTCAGGGCTTCATCCTACAATAAAACGCCTCCAGGCTTTGGAGGAGGAAAGAACAAATGATGGAACAGCAGCACAGGGTCCACACCTTCCAGATGAGGAGCAGCCTGCAGGAGCAGCACATCTGTGGGAACGTCTGTTCATTATACCCAGAAATGTAAAGATTTCACACTGATAATGGCCTTTTTAAAAATGATGACTCTTTACTGTTCTTGTATTGCTGAATATACTGTTAAGATTTCTTTTAAATAAAACGTACAATAATGTCGAGTCCATCTTCATTATTGATTGGCTAGTCCTGAGTTTATACATGATCAATTGTGATCTCTTCACTTGTCAATAATTACTTTTAAAACCAACAACAACCATATGAGCACAGTGTTTACAGCGTGTTCTTCTGCCCCCTAGAGGTCAAAAAATAAACTGGTCTAAACCTGAATACCTGTTTATGCTCCATATATGTTAGCATTTAATATATCATGGCCCTTTATCTGTAAATGTACGTCTCTACATAGCAGCTGGAGCCGCAGCAAACCGTCTGAATACTGAGAGATTTCAGTTTCTGACTTTTTATAGATTTCTATAAACATGTTTTCACTTTGTCACAATGGATTATTGAGTCTAGGCCGATGGGGAACAATAAGGTGTCCAGAAAGTGGTGGGGACAAAATGCAAAGCCACTGTATTGGTCTAACCTCAGCGGGTGTGCAGCCATGTTAACATACTCACATACTAAAGGAATAAAACGAGCTCAGAGCCCATCCAGACTGAATGTGGGTTACATCAACAGAGTTAGTGGGACTGAAGTACTTCCATCTGTACCCAGTAAGGATTTCTACCTGCGTCTCCAGCAGAGTCTCAGCTGAACTAACTACAGTAAAACTAAACTAAAAATAAATGTGACAGTTTCTGCAATAAGTGACTAAACTCAAAGAGCAACGTTGAGCTGAGGAAATGAAACTACAACAACACTGGAAAAAAACAAACCTGAAATGACGAAAACAAGTAAAACTAATTAGAAAAAGTGGAACTAAAACCACTGACGAGCAGACGTCCTGCACATGGCCATTATTTCGAGTGTGGCATTAAAATGGCAAACTTCTTCAACAAATTATTTCACAACCAGTGTTCAACACGACTGTCAAATGATGCAACCGCTAAATAAAAAATATGAGTGAAAGTGTGCATGAGCCTATTTTAAATAAACCAGCAAGCAAAGAAAACTGTCTTAAAGGCAAACACCAGAGAAATATAAGTTTGTTCACATGTAAAAGTAAATCTGAATGGGTTACCCTGCTGCTGCGGGCCGGAGGAACAGCCTCACTGTCAGACAGATCGTCGTAACTCTCAAACTCACTGGAGCTCCAGCCGTTGGAGCCTTGGTGACCAGGTCTCTGGATGTCCTCGTAGATGTTGTCCACATCTACACATAAAGGCCAACACACTTAGTAGTTGTGTTTCCAATTAAGCCTGTGTAGTCCACTCAGATAAATACTGCTTGGTGGTTTATAACAGTTTCAATTTCTTTTTTTTTTTTACCTTCCATCGGGTGCTGAAGGTTCTCATCAGGCACAACATCATAGATCACTTCTGGGTCTCTGGCCACAGCGTCTGTGCTGCAGATCACTGCACCCTGGTTGGTTGGTCCGTCTGCACCAGCTGCATGCCGCTCGGGCTGCAGACTGACTGAAGAGGGCGCCTGGTCTTCAGTAGTGCCCCAGTGCAGACTGCTCCTGTTTACTGCGTTGCCGGACTCATCCGGACCACCTTCTGGCAGTAGGGAAGACTGTCCTACAAACCAGCAAAACCAGTACACCAGTGTTAATGGGCTTCGCACTATGCCAACTGCTGTCTAAGCCACGACGGCTGATGCTGACTACTATTCATTTCAACAGCAGCAGTACATATAGTAAACCATTCTGCTTTTAAAGCTAAATGAAGGTGAAGGTGTCAAACTCCTCTTCTACCTGTGACTGATTATATGACGATATATTCTACATGTATGCAGCCTCCTCTATTTTACGAAGCCTTGATTCAGTCTACCATACATCCTCGCACTTCATAAAGAATGCAGTCTCTTACTCACGACTGCATTCTTTAAGACGACAAGACCCCCCCACAGGTGGGGTGTGGGGGGTCCTTTTACAGCTCTGTAAAAGGAAGCAGACCTGTGCTGCGTGTGAGTCCTGTACAGACTTGGAACACTGATTTACTCTCTGATGAACTGCTCGCTGCCTTCAGGGGAGATTACTGACGCAGGAAGCTTCTGAAGAACAGGTTCAACGTTACCGTGACCTGTCAAGACTGGCAACACCCCCACAAGTTCTACATGCACAATCACATTTTTTAATTTTTTGTATAGATGCGCTTTGTTGCTTGGTTTGTGCAGGTTGTGAATGGTTGTAAGCCACTATGAGAGACATCATGAGTGGTCTATGTCTGTGGGTTGGTTCTGTGGATACACACAAATATATGGATCTGAAGACATTAGGTTTTAGGACATTAGCTTCTGCTAATGCTAACTGCTGGTTGCATGTCACTAAAGGTGAAATTCATCCTGAGGGTCACGGGGGGCTGGAGCCAACACCAGCTGACACCGGACAAGAGATGGGTTATAGTCTGTCACTGGCCTGATTCACAGAAACAGACAATTATTTACACTCACACCTATGGGCAGTTTGCATGTCTCTGGACTGTGGGAGAGTCCGAGAAAACCCATGCAGACTCCACACAGACAGGCCCCGATCGGCCACGAGGTTCGATCCCAGAACCTTCTTGCTGTGAATCGACTGTGCAGTGGTTAGCAGGGTGGTGCAAAGCCGAGAGACTGTGGCTCTCTATTACCACTCCACAAGGCTTTCATTTCATTTCATAAAAAGATGACGCCTCAATGAAAGGCAGCATGTTACCTTTGCTACAAGCTAGCTGCTACCAAAGCTAAGACCACAGCCCTGTTGTGTATTAGTGCCAGCGTGAGCTCTGAACCCACACTGAGCCACTCCTTGGCTCGATGTGAGGCCAGGGCTGTCGGCATGAGGGAAAACACAAACATCATCGTGACTCTGATGGGCAGGTGGTCACAGAGCAGCTCTGACGTGGGACCAGAGGAGGGCAGGCTGCTCCTCAGGTCTTACCTTCATAAACACTGCTCGCCTTCCAGAAACGCTCACACTCTCTAGTCACTCCCATGTCAGAGGAGGTGGAACATCTGAAAGAAGCATTTCAATCTAAAAGTTATTCAAAGAACGTTTCATATTTATCATTTTAAATTGTCTACACCTGTAGGGTCGTCTACCCCCTCAAAAACTTTAACAAGACGTGCAGTGTTTTAAGTCTATAGGTGGGTTCTGCCACAGTTTGGGGATGAAACAATGCATCTACAACTGGACATCACATCCTAACTTACCCCTCTGGTGACTCCCTGACCTCCATATCTGGCAGAAAACAAACAAACAAACACAAAACATAACATTGCAATCTACATGCATGTAAACTCCCATGGTGCAATATCTGTTGCAGCTGTGTGGATGCTGTGCTCACCTGAGGAGCGCAGCTGGTTCAGCGAGGGGCTGTGGCCCTTCTGTCCCACGCTGGCTGCTCCATTCAGTCCTGGTCTTGTCGTCTCTTGGTCTGTGTGGGATTCTGTTGTGTGTGTGCTCCAGTCAGTCCTCATGACAGAGCCAGAGCTCATCTCTGGAGGTCCCACATCATCGCTGTCGTCAAACTCAAACCTCTCCCCTTGTTCACATTCACCCTCCTCTTCCTCTATGGGTGATGCCCCATTGGACACAGATGCTGATGAAAGAGGCAAGTGATTTAGTACTAAATCCTGGTGAGGGAGAGATGAAGCAGTGCTGAGGCATCAAAGCTGTGCAGCACCTCCTAGTGTCGTTTCTGTAGCTCCACAGGCAAAACAGCTGATACCACAGTGTCTAACGTGGGTTTGATTCCCGCGTCACTTGTACTATTGCCTCTTACACAAATGAATGACTTCAAAATGTGACCTTCAGAAATATGAAAACTGTGTCTCCAGTGAACTGAATGTAAAGCATAAAGCCATGAAAATGCACATGTGAGAAGACGTGTGTGTGGTAAATATACTTCTGTGACTTTAACAAAAACCTAACATTACATGTTCTACAGCTATTTACTGCAGCACCGTTAGACTGCACATAAACTAATAACTGCCCGACACAGAGGAGAAAGAAAACCCACAGGAACATGGGAAGAACATGAAAACTCCAGACAGGCTGGTGACAGTCATCAAAACCAGAGACACTAGATGTATGTTTGCATTTTAAATGCTTCACTGGCCACCAGCTGTGGGATGCTGGTTTACCCAAACTGCAGATTTAATGTGGAGTTGTTTTCCAGACTAACTGCTACTGTGGCTCACCAACAAAGGCAGTCTTTTCCTTCCTGTGTGTGGCACTGGGAAGAGACCGTACCTGGTCAGGACCTCAAGCATCTTTCCGAGAGGATTTCCAAACATAAAAGCGACAATGCAGTAAAACTGGCCTTGTTCTGCAGAGCTAGCCAAAACCAACAGCACATACCATTACGCATCATAACATGCTGAGGACAACAGGTGTGTGCTCAGCCAGACTATCACCCATATTAAACTGTGTGGAAATGTACAACAGTGCATTCAGTCAAATTGTAAAATTTTCTGCACCTTTCAAAAGCAGCTGCTGCTGTTGGGAGGACGTGATGTTTTTAGGGGAGTAGAGGTGTGGGCCGGGCTCAATGGCAGAACTACTGAGAATTCCTCAAAGACAAAGTCCACATCTTTCATCAGTTAAGTCTAAGCAAAGCATCTATGGCACGGGACAGGACCAGAACGGAAACTATGTCCAGGAGACTTCAAGCACAGAAACCCGAACGAAAGTGAACTCACCCGAAGGACGACAGAGGGATGGGTGTGCGGAGGTCATGCTGGCTGCTTCTCAGCAGTCACATCAGCTCCTGTGAACATAAAAAACACCTCGTTTGATTATTCAGAGCCATGACAAGCCGTTTACTCTTAGATAAACACGACTGTCACTGATTAAGCTAAAGTCACACACACTATGTGGTCAGCTGTAGAAATCAAACCTGTTTTCATACATTTTGAATCTCATTATTACTGTCAAGATCTGAACCCCAAAGTATAACAACTGTCCTTGTTCACACAAGTTCTACAGTTAACGGCATCGTCAAGTCGCTGTGTGCTTCACAGCCCAACCAGGCAACAATGCGCAGGGTGTGTACTTTAATACACTCAGACCAAACATCACAGCACACATGACCTGGAAAAGCAGTGTGAAGCCGTCCCACACCAGCTAAAACGTAGATTTAAAGGGCAACAACCTTTCTCACCAAAGTGGGTTTCCACTTGTTCTGCAGAACATGAAAAAGTTGTTTAAGGCCTTTTGTGTCTCCAGAGGAGTGTGTGAAGTCTGGTAAATGTCCTGAAGCGATGTCATATGATCAGCGTCAATCAGATCTGAAGACAAGATTGAAACATAGAGAAATCTGGGAGTGTGGTACATTAGCTGCTACTAGCACAACACACCTGAATCTCCAGCTGAACTCTCAATGGTTGAGATGCATTGTGGGTAATGTAGGCACCAGGTTTTGACAAGATAGAAGTCGATGTTATCTGTGGTTCTGCTGCATGCTGCTTTAAACTGTCATTGTGAGTTCCACTGTGTTAGAGGAGAGCAAGGCTAAATCAGTGAAGTCAACCACACACTCCAAACAAATACTTCTGTGGAACAGTGTTTACACGTCAGAACAAACAGCCAAGTCTGAAATGAGAACCAATGCACAGAAACATGACACCGACAGTACTAATGAGATAAAACACAATGTGATGTACTGGATCCCTCATTAGAACTGTAAAGCATTTTGTTAACCTCACACATACACGCCCAGTAGTCAGTTGATTAGGAACACCTGTCTCAAACTAAGCCCGTCTGATCCAGCAGCTCTGCAGTAAGTCCTCCTTCCTGAAGCTTGTGTTCAGACCGTGTCCCAGAGGTGACGGCTCATTTTGCAGGATGTGCTGTATCGCATTAGACTATCAGGTGCTTCTAGTACCATTCAACAGCATGACAAACTACAACATGATCATACACTTCAATCAACAGCTGCAGTTCTGTTGGATCAAGCCACATCAGTTTCAGCTTGGTGTGCCTAATAATATGCCAACTGAGTGCACATATGGTGACTCACCGGTGTAGTGAAGAGCAAAGCTTTGGGAAAACAGAATTTATCCATGTGGATGACAAACTGTAGTTGTATTTTGCTGCATTTGGCCAGAGGCAGCTTGAGCGTGTTACATTCCTCCACAGCAGATCCAGACGTGTTCTTTCCCAGTTACTCAGTCAGATGACAGGCCGGTTCAACATGAGACCATAGCGTTTAATAATTCTCCACACTGGGTCACAGCACATAAAAAGTTCTAGCCGGACGTAAAACCGCGTGTTTCCTAAAGAAAGGACCTGTTCTTACCACCACCAAACTAACACTGTCCTTTCTGCTGTAGATGACAAGTTATTAGCATCTAAAAGTAAATATTCCGATAAAGACAGAGGCGTCAAGACAAACATAAATAATTCAGCGGGCTGTATGGAAAAAAGCCTTCATTCTGAAGAAGATGTGGGACTGGTAGCTGAATAGACAATAGCAGAGAGAGAGAGAGAGAGCCCTGCAGTTAGCTGTGATGAGAGAACAGCCTCTGGATTGTCCCGGCTGAGGGATCTACTGACTCCCACCGCGGTGACAGCATTCAGCCAAGGCCCAGAGCAAACGTGGAAACAAGATGAAGGCACATTCTTGCATAATGTTTCACTGAACACTGATGAATTCTGTCATAGAGATGAGAGTTTGTTGTCGCACTAGAATCCTGGCGATGAAAGACAACACAGTCACAGCACCCAGAGAATGATCCTGACCTTTCACGTAGCACCAATTTCATTTTCCCCTTTGGTCCAGAAGAAGCTACCGTATCTGCCAAGCAGGGTGTTAGTCGGTGCTCCTTGGCATAAATTCTCCAAGTGTGTGTAACTCTACTTGCTTTTGGTGCGTTGTTGATCTGACACCACCCTCCCCAAAGCTCCCATAGCAGTTCATTTGGGTGGAGATCTACATCTGTGGTTCCCAGAAGATGAGTACTGCTAATTTTGCTCCAGTTCCAGAAAGTGGCTGAACTTTTCACTTATATGAAATGTATCCAGCATCAGATCTGTTTTTCATTGCAGGCTAGGAAAAGCCTGCTTGTATCCACCTTTTGCTGGTTCCTGATTATGGCGATCTGCATGATGATCTTGTCATTGTCTGTTTTTATAAGCTGCCATCGTGGCCAGGATTTTAACTAGAGCAAAACAATCATTGATCTTGTCATTGTCTGTTTTTATAAGTTGCCATCATGGCCAGGATTTAAACTAGAGCAAAACAATCACGTGTCTATAGATACTGAAACATCTGTTAAACAAGAGTGGCCCTAAAACTGGATTATAAAGCCCTAAGTGGAGCGTGACTGACAGGACAGACCAAACCTTGGGCTGTTATCACTGCAACAGTGAAGGCTGCTCACATGATGTGGACATTGCCCTGGGCTGGTTAACAGCAGTTTCTCAGTTGTTTTTCTTGGAGCAGGAATAGCTGTAGCAACACTGACTACCATGGACACACCTCAACATGAACCTGCAGTCAGTGCTGATGCAGGTCACATGCATTCATAAACTGGGACAGCTGTGCTTTCAGCAGGTCGTGCAAACTGTCATGAACGGGACCACTGGGCACAGGACAAGGGGCCTGAGAGTCAGGGGTCCTGGGCCAGAGCCTGTGTATGAAGTGACTGGGCCGTCCTGCTGCCACTGAGTATATTTAACAGTACCAGTGGTTTCTAGTCAACAGGGCATCCTTCGCTTGGGCCCATGTAGCGCGTCTATTACTGGATGTGCACTCTAGGATAAGCTTGGTTTGGTGGACCATCCCTTGGTTACAAGCCTTGGCTGAGGGTCGTCCCATGGTGTGGAGTTCCTCTCCTCTCCTCCCTCTGTATCCATCTATATCCCACCACTACCCTGTCTCCTCTCTCCCGTAGTGTGTCCTCTCTCCCTCCTAGTGTGTCTCCTCTCTCCCGTAGTGTGTCCTCTCTCTCTCCC